GAACCCGTCACGCTTCGTGCTGCGCGTGTCTCGCTCACACGACAAACGTACAGTGCTGTACTGTACATATCCTACACTCAGGTCAGGTATGAAACACACATTGGACTGTACTCAGTGCAGTGCAGTACTAGCTGCGCATTGCCTTGACGCATTATTCCCCCCTCACTCACTACAGTATTACACAGTACCTGCGACGGCCTGCCATCAATTGACGTCCTGCAAGAAGCATGCACAGGAGCATTCAGCTCGACTGATGGAATTGAGACGAGTGAGGCCGGTGGGCAGCATCAGGCCAGCAGCAGGGGATGATTAACGCGATGCAGTACAAAGTGTATACTGTACAGCAAGAACATCAGCAACGTCCTGTACAGTCTTCACCTCCCGGCCTTGTCATACGTATCGTACTGTGCAGTTCAGTTCTGCGCTCCGTCGTCGTACGTATGATTGATGCTTGATTGATGGCATCCGCGGCTTGGATATACTGTACTGTACTGTATCATGTGAGGGTCGTGCGCGGGTGCAATCAATGATTGCCTGCCCTTTGCGGACACCAAGATGTTTTCATGATGAATTCCTCGACGATCGAGCTGCGAGGAGGAGGAGGAGGAGGAGGAGGAGGAGGAGGAGGTGGTGGTGGTGGCGGTGGTAGGTGGCTCCGAGGAATGTAAGCCATCTGGCGAGAGATGGCCATACAGTCAGGCGGCGGCGGAATCAATTCCCATCCGCCGGCAATTCGGACCCGCCGGGCTGGGAACAACAAGACGGACGGATGAGGGAAGAGAGAAAATGCGGCGGCGGGTCGCTCGAGAGCAGGAAATTGCCCTGTTTACCTCATGCTCCCTCTTTGCGGCTCTCTCTGACGCTGATGCTGCTCCTCCTGCGCTTCTTGCGGCCCGCCACCCAGCCAAAGCCAAGGGACAGACGGGCGGGCGGACGAGAGAAAGAAGAGGAACAAGCTGAAGCCCTTCTTGCATTGATCCTGCAGTTGGACAAGCCTCCAATAAGTGGGCGACGGCCGGTGGTTCGTACACTAGCAGCACCATCCTCCCTAATACTCTACTCTACTGTACGTCTGTACCTCCCACCTATCATTGTCGCAAGTCCGAGTCATCATCTGCCGCTGCTGGTCACCAGTCCCAGCTGTCCGTCCATGCAATTCGCGACAATTCCCCACCGACTACAGTACACTACACTACAGTACAGTATAGTAAGTACAGTACTGTCCTGTCCACGCGTCTAGCACTGCAAGACCCGTGCAGTGCAAGGGCTGGCGAGTTGTGCCGCAAAAGGTTTGGGCGGGACCCTTTAACGCGCGCAGATGGGCGGGCGGTCTCCCGTATTGCCCCGTGTGTGTCTCTCTCGGATGCGCTAGTCTCCAGTCCTCGTCGAGCGGCTGGAGAGACAACATCGGAAGGAAGGCGTTCTCCCTGCGCGGCGTGTCTTCACGGGGGGGACAACTGACGAAGGGCCGTCCCTTGCGATCCAGCTCTGGTTGATCCTATGCTGTTCAATACTGTACTGTACTTGTTATCATCAGTCCCAAAACAGAGGAGTGTAGTGGGTGTCTATCTGTTTGCCTGGCTGAGACAATTATGATGGGGAGAACACAGAGTTTTCCCTGAACTTGTGCGTGTGACGTGTCTCCACGATCAATGCGAATGTCCGCCCGGAATTCCGAGTGATTTTGTCAAGTCCGTGGGAGATTTCGATCGTCCTCTAGTTACGCGACTCCCGTCTCCATCCAGGGCAATGAAGGAAAGAGTCAACTTTGAGCCGAGGCAGTGTGTGACACTTTCCCGTCGAAAGAAATCAACAAACGAGTGGTGACAGTTTCCCAGTCCCTGAGTGATCGAATCTTGCCTCTCTTCCTATTCACAGTAAATCTGTCTTTTGATCAAGTTTTGAATATGCGTTCCAAACCTTTTCGCTGTCGTCGCAGCCCGGAATCTAGCGGATGTGTCTGGTGTTCTCGTGCTGTGTTCAATTCCGCTCGGTCGGCCATAGGTGTGTGACTCAATTTTGACGAGCATACAGTACAGTATGAGTATAGTGCAATAGTACAGTATGGTAGACTATTTTTGTCAATGTTTTTGCCTGGGAGGCAGAGAAAGCACGAGCAGGTGGTGTGCGGCGACTGTGCGCAGAAATCGCGGCCGCAAGTCTTGCACTGCAAGACTCGTTGCACTGCCATACACTACAGGGCTGTGTTCTGTGCAAATGTAAAGTCGTTGGTATCAAGTCAAGTGCTGTATTATACATACAATTCCGGTGCATCATCACCTCCACTGCCAACATCCCGACTTCAGCGGAACGCACTAGTACGAGACGTACGACGTGTGACAAACAGACAAAGCACGCAAAAGAAACTAACGATTACAAGTGAAGTGACGAGTGTGTGGGCTGGACTCGGCCCACGGTTTTGGGGTGTGTGTGTGTGTTTGGCGCGGGAGCGAAATAAGTGAAAAAATAAAATGACAACCACGACAAAAAATGTACATATATATATGTACACAGTATATCACTAGGCTGGAGAAATATCATACGGTATGGTGCTGCAGGCAAGAGCTCAACAACCAAGCCGAGCCGCCCCTTATTGGGGAGACAGACTTACCTACTTACTCACGCTCTCACAAGGCGACACAGGAAGGAGCCTGCACAAACCACCCTCTGGACAACTCGCGGAACTCGCTGTTCATGTTCTCGGTTCAATCTTGCAGCCTCGGGTGCAAGACGCACCTTTTTCTTCTTCGTCAGGGTGATCGAAACGTGGGATTATCATTTCGCGGCATTTCGTCTTCATTGAATTCCCACATCCCGCCCAAAAAAAACAATCAAGAGCACATCCTTCTGACAGACCGATTGTAACCCTGCACACACACACACATACACACACACACTCTGTATGCTGTGCTTTCCTTGGTTTATTCATTCATTTGCACTTCCCCTGATGTGGGCATGTAACAAACGTCCCCTTTAGTCATTACCTGCTCAACTGACCTGCAGGATGGGCGACGCTCTGCCTGATCTTTGCCAGCTGCTGTAAATCAACTCTACCAGAGAATACTGTAGTATAATATAGCATGGTACTGAAAATTAAAATAATTACCTGAAATTAATGCATGAACAAATTTGTTCCTTCTTCTTCTTCCCCGGGTTTTACCTTCTTCAGCCACGCGTGTGCAGCATCAACGCGACTCTGAGGGAGATGGGAGTGGGTGTGTGAGAAAGGAAAAATAGAATGCAGTGTCGCACAGTACAGTATTCCTTTCGAAATCTCCGCCCTGTATCTTCTCTTCTGAGGGGCAGAAACCGGGCGTCTGGTAAATACTGTGCAGGACTGTCTATGGAAACTCCTAATCGTGTTTTATATGGGCAAGTGCACGGGCTGGCGAGTTGTGCTGCAAAAGGTTTGGGCGGGACCCTTTAATGCGCGCAGATGGGCGGGCGGTCTCCCGTATTGCCCCGTGTGTGTCTCTCCGATGCGCTAGTCTCTAGTCCTCGTCCAGCGGCTGGAGAGACAACATCGGAGGGAAGGCATTGTCCCTGCGTGTTTGCCTGGGAGGCAGAGGAAGCACGAGCAGGTGGTCTGCGGCGACTGTGCGCGGAAATCACGGTCGCGTGAGAGAATCTCTGGCATAATTTCTTCTCCCCCCCCCATTCTCTCTCTCTCATTTTTATATTTTGTTGGTTGGTTTAGATATTGTACTTTAGTTCGGTGCTTGCGTTGTCAGTGCCAACACCTGCCCTGTCGTCTCGGTTTGATCGTGTCTAACTACTGGCCAGGTGTGAGTGTCGGGATGGGTGGCGCAGGTAGATTGGGATTCAGCAGCTGCCGATTGCTTGTGTGGCAACGCGTGTGACCTTGTCTGTGTTTTCGGGTTATATATATATATATATGTATTTTTTTTTTCAATATCCTGGCTTTATCTGTGAAGTGAGAACCAATGAGCTAGCCAGCCAGCCAGTCACATTTCCGACCGTCATGTGCGAAACGTCGATGGGAATGATGTTGTCGTTTTCCGTCAGCAGTTGCCCGGCGACATTCCGCGGGATGCCTGCGCGTCGACATCTCTGTGGAAGGGATTTAGAACTGACGGACACTCACAGTAAAGTGCTGTACAATGCGTCCTTTCTTCTTCTTCTTCCTTTGTTGAGCAATAAATGGAGGAGAGTGCGGTAGGTGAATAACGCATTGTATTATCAATACCTGTCTCCCGACGTGGAGCCGAAAGTCGGAGGGATTACTGTACAGTATATGTATCTGCACCCTGGTATTTTGGTGACAATCAAACACGATGTGGTGCCGCCGCCGCCGCCGCATCTGTTTCGCTTGGGCGATTCATTGCCGGCGGACTGATCTGAAAATTGTGATCCGACGAAGCAGGCGGTTCTTGAAATTGAAAGCCTCCACCTCCCCCGCTCTCTTCCTTGGCTCGTGTGATGAAAAGGGGGGAAAGGAGAAGAAAAGAGGGGAAGGAGAAGGGGGCGAAGAATACTTGTAAGAACAACGAGAGGAAAAGTGAACGTGTGTGAGTGAGTGAATGAATGAATCCTGATGGGAGACGACGGCGGCGAGTCTGAGGAATACAATATTGTTGGTGGTTGGCCCACACGTCTTGCTTGCTTCCGGCAGCTGGTGTGTGGTGTGGTGTTCGACGGTATCCGCTCCGCGGCGTCGTCGTCAAGTTGACTCTGGGTGTTGTCTTGACTATGAGACGACTCCGGCTGCTGAGCAGAAGAAGGAAGGGAACGAGGATAGGGGAGGGGAGGAAAGGCGACGATGCGGAAGTCTAGCGGGGTGGCTTCCGACTAACTACCTAGCTAGCTAGCTAGCTAGCTATACAGTACCTGCTGCGAGGAAAAGGGCCGCGTCCCGGGGTCGAGTACCTTGAGTCGAGGGGCGGGAGTTGTGCGCAAAGGGTCGACTCCTTCGGTTCAGTACAATTGTACTGTCCAGTCCAGTACAGTGTGGTACTGTACTGTAATGTTCTTTGATGGTGATGAATGAAGCATTCAGACGTTGGATTTCATTCAAGGGGGGTGGTGGTGGTTGTGGATTGTGCCCATGCGAGGGCACATCAGAGGCAGCGATGTCCTGTGCAAGTGTTTCGGTCTCTTCATTGCAGTCCTGTACTGTACTGTACTGTATCTGCATCCTGTATCGTATTATTGCATTGCAGTTGATTTATTTGCAGGTTTCGTCGGAACGAACGAACGAACGAACCAGGCGAGAGTTTCTCTAATTGGCGTGTTCAGTTCTGTGCAGAATTCGATTCCCTTCCCTTCCCTCGCCAGGAAGAGGTGGGTTCGTGAACATCGAGTCGACGAGCAAGCAATGAAGGTGCAGTGCGCGCGTCGTTCGTCGTCGTCGTCGTCGTGGTCGTGGTGGTGATTCTCATTACTTGGTTGGTTAATTAATTAATTAGTGACTGATAGACAGACAGACCAAGAGGAAAGAAATCAAGAAATCTCCTCGTGAACGAGTCACGATCTCGTCGTGTTGTGCTGGTGTGCGTTTTGTGGTGTGGTGCCGTGCGGTGGTGGCGAGGCGATTTCCAGTCAGGCCTGCCCACATGTTGAACGAGTCGTGCGGGTGCCGACTCTGCGGCGAGTCTGCCACAGCACTCCGGTCCCAAGGTGAGTGTGTATATATTTATACTGTGTATATGTGTGTGTGTGTGTGTGTGTGTGTGTGTGTATATATATATTTGGCTTGCATGAAAATGGCAGCACTGTAGGAAATAGCTAGCAACGATTAAATTGTGTCTTTTGTTGAGACATTTCTCATGCTGCATATTGTACAGTTTGTAAGCAAGGTACAGTCTGGTTTGGATTCGGGTCCACAAACACCTACCACACTCTGCACAGTGCACGTCAGTAGATTCGACGCGAAAGAAACAAACGTTCAAGTTGCGGGCCCCGGTATTCTCTGAGGAAACCTCTCCTCGACTCGTCTCCCTGGTTTTAGTTTTGTCTAGAAATCTGCGGAAGGGCCTTTCTACCTACCTACCTACCTACCTACAGACACACAGTACAGTACTGTACTGTAGAGAACTCTAATTGTCCGACCCTCTTGACTTTTGGCGTGAAGGCATTGCATTCGATGTGTGTAGTAGGGTAGGGTACCTGAGTCAAATGTCCCAGTGTCGAGGTTTTTGAGGTAATGCACTGTGCCCAAGACCATCATGCATTTGCCCTGGCATGGTGTGTTGAGCGAGGCCCGTCGTGCAAGTCAGGCGGGGGTGAGTCGGGGCAGGCAGGAGGCAGGCAGGCAGCGAGCCAGAATCGCGAAAAGCTTTCATGGTGGTCTCGGTCGAGGGGATACGGTAACGCAGGATGGAAACGAACGGGTGTGAAATCGGTTCCTGGCCACACCAACCCACACCTCACCACACCACACCACACCACACGACCAGTACTCTGGTGCCGACAAATGTACACCACTTTTTTCTTTCTCTCTCTCTCTCTCTCTCTCTCTCTCTCTCTCCTTTTTTCTTGTTTTCCTTGTGTCGAGTAGGAGAGAAAGAGAGAGAGAGTAAAGGAAAGACGCATGTGCGGACGAGCAGAGGGAATACAGTGCAGTACAGTATGCGCAAATGTGTCGCCTCCAACAGAGGTGGATCGAGTACTGTGCACGTACAGTACAGTAGTCACGTTTTTCTCCTTTTTTCCCCCGGCTTATTTGTCGTCTCATCCCCGCCCGTTGAGCATTTGCCCTCGTCACGACGAGGGATTCGTTTCCTTCCTCCTTATTGTGGCCATGGACCCCGTTCCTTGGACCCGCGTCATCTGCTGCCCTCTCCCATCTGTGTCGTGTTGATGGACGAGTACGGCACGGTACGTCACTCGTGAGGGAGGGATATGACCAAGTGTAGGCTGAGTGAGTAGATTAGAATGCACTTGGCATGGACTTGATGCACGGTACTCGTCCGGATGGGTGTTGCATACGGCAGTTGGATGATGATGATGATGTCTGCCTTTGCCCGCAAACCCTGGTGCTGGTGATGATTTGGATATACCGTCCGTCTGTAATTGTGGTGGGAACAAGAGCAGAGTGAGTGAGCCGCAATAAATCCGTCCTATCGAGTTTCATTCCTTCGTTCGTTCGCTCGCTCGCTCGCTCACTCACTCGGCGTCGGATCGAAAGTTTCCCACCCTGGGCTCAGGCGTGGGAAAAGTTTCCGGGCGGCGGGCGAGAAATATTTGCGTGCCGATTTACGCTGGTCCGGCGGCGTGTTTGCGCCTCTGTATCTACTTGCAGTCCTTGTCCAGCCAGTGAGGGAAGGAAAGAATGAAGGAGCCAGACAGCCGCGGTTGTCATTGGGGTTTTCTTCTTCTTCTTTTGTGGTGGTTGTGATATGACGACGACGACGACGACGATGATGATGATTATCATCATCATCATCATCATCATCATTATTATTTATTCTACGGTATGTGTGATTATGAACAACAAATGAATGGGATCTGGAGAGAATCCATCTTCTTTCTTTCTCTCTCTCTCTCTCTCTCTCGCGGCAAACAGGAGGAGGAATTTCGGACGCGTAAATGTGTCGGAATTCCTACGCATTTACGTGTCGGAGACGGGGAGACGAGGATGAGGAGGTGGAAGAAAAGAAAAACGCGCTGTGAGGAAAAGTTAAAGAGAAGGAATAAATGAAATGAATGGAAAGAAAAGGAAGCAGGGGAGCTGGAGCGGTGCGGTGCGGAGGAAGAAGAGGAGGAGGAGGAGGAGGAAGAAGAAGAAGAAGAAGAAGAAGAAGAAGAAGTGGAATGACTTTAGGAGCAGTACTGAAATGTTTTCGCCCGGCATTCGGTTCGATTGGCCTCTTCGCGGCGCGCAAAAATAGGGGCGTTGTAAAGAAAACGCTCGAGGGATTTCCAGGCCCCGGCGTGGGAAAACCGAGGCGGCAGGAATTTCTAGTCTGGCCGATTTTCCTTCTTATCCTTTCTCTGCTTGGGTTTTCTTTTCTCTTCTTTCCTCTTCTTTGCCTTTCTTGTATCTGCAGCCGAAACCGCCGCCGATAAGAAGTAAGGTACTATACTACTACAGTACTGTACATGTACTACCTACCATCTCAGTGGGAGTATCGGTGCTGCATGGCTGAGAAGTGCCTCCGTAAATATTTGACGCTTGTGTGCAGCGAAGGCGCTGTCTGTCCTTTGTCGTTCGTCGTCGTCGTCGTCATCCTCCTCCTCCTCCTCCTCCTCTTGTCTTTGCTTTACAGTATTTCATTGTATCGTTTCTGGACATGCAGACACACGCACACGTACATAGTGTAGGCATGCAATTGAGTCGAGTACCTGAGGAGGAGGAAGAAGAAGAAGAAGAAGAACAACAACAACAACAGTGTTCTGCTGTACTGTTGGTGTAGAGACTGTAGAGCACTCCAATGTACTCCCTTTCAGATTACAGTTGAGCACTAACGACGTGGAACTCGGGATGATGACAGTACTGTACTGTACTGTACTGAACTGTAGTCGCGGAAATGCGGGGCGGAACGTGAGACAGAGAAATAAATAAAAAGAGCTCTCCCCTTCCCCTTCGGCCTGGGAATCGTTTGCCGAGATTGAATGACGTGCGAAGGAATTGGGTAAATTCGCAGCGTCTCGCTATGCACCGGGAATTGCTCCTCCTCCTCCAAGAGAAAGGGTGACTGGAGTGGGACGTGGACTCTACTCTACTCTGCTCTGCTCTGCTCTGCTCTGCTCTGGAAGGGGGGGGGGGGGGGGGATAACTTGGGATCAAGAGGGGGGGGGGGGGGGGGGGGGGGGGGGGGGGGGATCACTCTGGATCAAGAGTCCCGAATGGGATGTCGGGTCGTTAACACGTCTGCCCTGGGGTGGCTTTCCGATAACTGACTGGGCAATGGGAATTCCCCGAACGTCCGTCCGTCAGTCCGTCTGTCTTTTTCTTTGTGCATTGTACAGTACTTGGCAGTATTGTACCTTGAAGCAAGCAAGCAAGCGGTGGACTATGGGAACGACTGCAGTACACGTACCATCTCACTATTCGTCCCCGCCCTGGTTTTCGTTGAAAGCTGCTGGATCCGGTCAGCACATCGATGGAGGATATGAGGGGCTGGATTGAATCATTGTTTCCCATCTCGCTCATCACCTAACCCACCTGGATTTTCTCTGTCTGTCTGTCTGTCTGTCGTCCGTCACGCGTCGACTTTTCCGTTGACGTCCGCTGTTTGCGTTTCTTGGCTGGTTATGTTATGTGACACAGGACAGGAACGATGCCACAGGCGTGGTCCATGCTGAGGACTTTGGGCCTATTATTATTATTATTATTATTATTATTATTTATTCATTTACTGCATTTACTTTCTTTTGTGCCTTTGCCACGACCACCAGTGGCTGCCGTAATCCAGCCGTCATGCTTGCAGTCGCATTCCGCGGACGTCGAGCCAGATTGATCGCGAGGGAATCATGCGCGGTTGCCCGGGTGGGGTATTTGTCCCCCCGAAAATCCCCCCGCACAAGGCTTTTGCATTACAGTATTCTCTTTTTTTTTTCTCTCTCTCTCTCTCTCTCTCTCTCTCACGCACACTCTTTCTTTCTTTCTTTCTTTCTTTCTTCTTCTTCTTCTTTCCTCCCCTCCTCCTCCTCCTCCTTCTTCTCCTTTTACCATTCGGCTGGCGGTGGTCTGATCTGGTCTGGTGTATAATCCCGCGAGGAATGTTGCCCGAGGCGAGGCGCAAAACCCTGTCATGTCAACCATTGGTGGGTCCACTTCTTTCTCTCTCTCTCTCTCATTTTCATTCATCCCCTTTTTTTTCTTTCTTTTTTTTATTTTTATTCCTTCTTTTCTTCCCCTTGTCGTTATTCGAGAGAGGCCCATTCCATTCCATTGATTCGAGCCCACCCTCGCGACAAGGCCCCGAGAATTCGGGTTTACAGTGCACACCCTACACTGTACTGCCCTGACCTGACCAGACCAGACCAGACGCAGTGCGTGCGTTTCTCCCACTTTGTCTTTACGTTCCGGCGCGGCTTGGAGACTCGAAAGCGAAAAGAAAAGAAAAGGCGGCGTGTCATCAATCGTATCGAGATCCAGATCCAGAGCAGAGCAGGGTACAAAACCTTTGTTTTACCGCAAGTACGGTACACATGAATCAGTACTGTACTACAGTATACAGCAGGAGGGAAGGAGGAATGGCATGACGTCCGTCTGCCTGCCAAGTTGCAAAGCTTGCTCTAGTCTTTGTACAGTACATTAGTGTACACCGTGGATTTTTGTTCGTCAGCGGTTGCATGGATTGTACCGCTTTCAAGTCGCGCAGTTCCGAGTCCACATCCACCGTCTTCCGGACGTCACTCGTTTCCACTGCAGTCTCAGTGTACTATATTCTACTCTACTCTACAGTAACACAAAGAAAGAAGGAGAGTGAAGAAGACGACTCGGGCGGGCAATTGAAATTATTGACGCGAATAACTGAGAAGCAAGCTTTGACGTGGTCGAGCTATAGTACCCATGTAATCCTCTTCCTTCATCGTTGCTGAGGAACCAAGAAGAAAGTACTGCACTGTATTACTAAATGGCAGGCACTTTTTCTTTTTTTTTTTTTCGGGGAACCAGTTGGTTGGATGAAAATCCCAGTTCGCCCTTACAAATCCCAAGAATTGCTATCCTATTAACGATCGGTGTTGGTGGTGGCATCGCAGCTCGATCCAAATCACGGCGGTACATTGAGTGGCTCCACGTCCGCGAACCCGAGGGAAACTTTGGCGTGTCACCACCGCACAGGAGTTCCTATTCTATTTACAGTAGAAAAGAAAAGGGAAAGACGAGACGAGAAGAGGGAAAGGAGGGATTGTGACGGAAGGTTCCTTCCTCTTCCCTGAGGAACCTCCACAGACACAGATGGGAGAAGAACAGGCAATTTTCTTGGAGGAGATTCTCGCGTCCGGCAGACTAATGTTCTGTACAGTACAGTACAATACTTGACTTGTCGTGTTGTATTCTCGGTCATTGGGGGACGCGGGGGTTGACTGACGCACGAAGACGTGGGCACAGTATTTCCCATTCACTCGCCAGTTTTGACTTGCACTTGCTCACTCATTATCTGGGAACCGGAGAACGTAAATGTACACTTTTCTCTCCAGCACACTGTTGAGATACAACAGTACGAGGAAATATCGTTGCAACAAACTCAGAGGGACTCGAGAAGAAGAAGAAACGTTTTCACTACAGTTTACTTGTTGAACCGAGATTTTGAAAATACTTTACTGTAGCTGGCTCAACAAATTTCAACTTGTTCGTGCCTGCATATGTGGAGCAGTTTGCTCTTCGGTCTCGCCAGATTATTGCGTTTAATCCGTCGTTTGACAAACTTGATTGATCTTCCGAATCCATTTTTGGTTGTGCATAATGCTAAACGATGTTTGCATTTGTAAACCAAGCAAGGTGTTGGTGTTGGGCTTCTTATTCAAAGTGAATGGATGGCATTTTCTCGTCTGTTCTTTTACTGTATACTGTATACAGTATGCCCATTCTGTGGGATGGAAATGCAAATGGGGAAATCAAACACAGTACCTTACCGTCAAACCTATTCCAAAGTCCAATGTCGAGGGACCAGGAAACAAATTTGAGTTGGGGGAACGAACATTTTAGTTGGGAGAAAGGGTGGAGAATTCCGGGAAATTGTAGTTGGTGATGTATTGTATAACGCGTTTTACCCAGCTTCATGAACAAGTCTACATACACTACACTACAGGATGCTAAATCTTGGAGGCGAGGCTTCATTTGCCCGACTTGTCTTTCACTTCCTTCGAAGCACATCAATTGACCTCTTTTTTTTTTTTTATCATTATTCCTTTTCTGTTTTTTTCTTCTCGTATCAATAAAATAATAGGCGGAAGGCCTCCAGAAAAATTTGAGTTAGGGACGCCTTTAATGCATTGTTCCTAAGGGAATTCAAACAGAGACTTGATTTAAAAAAATGAATATTCAGGTAGGGAAATACAGTAGTGTGTTCAGCTTAACGAGGTTTGAATTTTTGAGGAAGCATCTTACAGTGTCATAACTGTAACATAGGAAAATAAATGGGGGGGGGGGGGTATTGCCATGAATGAGACGAGTCAGTCCAAGGTTTTTTGTCTTGATATTCTAAAATTTTCATTTTCTTTCTTTTATTCGAGACTAGGTCAACGGGAAAGAATTGCACGGCATAAATCCAGGGAGAGCAATTGATAAATTCCGTCTAACCATGTCCATTTAGCTGAAAATCTTGGCTGCAAATTAGTGTCAGGAAGCATGTGCCGCAAAAAAAAAAAAAAAAAAAAAAAAAAGAAAAAAAAAAAAAAAAAAAAAAAAAAAAAAAAAAGAAGAAGAAGAGGAAGAAGAAGAAAAAGAAATTAGCGGATGAAAGCACTCACTATTTTTTTTTTAAATTAACTGTACTGTAGTTTTTTGTTCTGTTTTGTTTTTATAAATGCTCACACCAATGTCTGATGTAAAAAGAAGAGGAAGAAGCTCATCAACAGTAGCAAGGATTCTGAAGCCTCCACCCTTGAAGCAATTCATGTACATCTTGGGGCACAAATTCTGTTGTGTTCAGGGTAAATGTACATTGTACTGAACCAATGTTCGAATCAAATTGAGAGCCATTTTTCCTCGACTCTTCCAATCAAGCCGAAAAACCAATGGAAATTTGACACTGTCCTCGCCTGATGGGATATTTAGTACAGTATTTGGGAAACTTTCACGAGGAGAATCCCATGTTTTGTAAACAAACAAAAAATAAATAAAAAATTGTTATCCAGTACCGTACTGTGCTGTACACGCAGTATCGGCATTGAAAAGTTTGGTTGAATTTGATCGTTGGAGCGGCTTTCTGTCCGGACTTGACAGTACTGCAGTGAAGAAAGTGTTGGGATGGAGAGTTGACGGTACAGCACTGTCACATACATCATCACCGTCTGTAGACGAATGCATTCCGAAGGTAGGTGGGACTGGGAGAGATGTACGCATCCAAGTCGGTTATCGGAGGCTGCTCACGGGCAGGTTTTGCCTGAGAGCATTCGCCGCTTTTCTCGCTGTTTTGTTTTTCGCCAGCAGGAAGCCAGCCTGTCCGACCGGATGTGACGTTCCACCACGTGTTTCCCAACTCGGGATTTTTCCATTTCCCGGAACCCGAAAGTTCCTTCCTTTCCCCACATCTCTCCCGTGTTCCGTGTTGTAAGCGCATAAAGAAGGAGCAGAGCAAGAGCAAGCATTCATTCATACAGACACATGAAATTTTACAAGGTTTTCTGAAAAACGCGGAATGGGCAGGATGATGTGCTTTGGTCTGTTTGTTTTTGTTTTTTGTTTTTTGTTTTTTTTTGTCGTCACGAATTGTGCAGTCGTGGACGGGCTTTTGTAGCTGTAACATTTGTAGCTGTTGATTCATTACATAGACACGACGAGTGGGAGAGAGTCGGGCATTGGTTGCGTGTGAGAAGGCAACCAACGCTGGACTGGTTCGTTTCTCATCTTCCTCGCCACATACGGAAAACGTGTGCACTACAGCACTATACACTAGTTTATTCATTGTACAGTAGAGTACTGTATATTGTGTCCTCAGCCGTGGAGGATGTGGTCGTTCCGGGGATGAGGGAAAGGGAGTCATGATCCTGGTTTTTTTCCTGCTGTCGATTTCTTCCCGGCTGGTTCTGAAAGGAAAAGGGGGATTCAAGTCGAGTGTTGCTCGTAATGTACAGTACCAGTATTTGTATTGCAGGGTACCTGGTACTTGACTTGACTTGACTTTACTCAACTTGAACATGCGTATGTGTGTGCTTGGTCTTTGTTTGTGCAGGTCGACGCAGGACGTGGCGCAAAGGCGCGAGCGAGCCGATCCCGGGCTGCGGAGTCGGCGATGGAGAGTCGGGCGTGGCCTTGATCTCTGACTCGACGACACCACCTGCACCTACCTCCGGGTCCACCAACTCTGGACCCGCCATGACGGCGAGTGATCCGGGCCCGTCTTGTGTGGAGGATCGAGTGCCCGTGGTGCCCATGGTGCCCGGCGGGGACCGACAAGACTTTTCCTCGAGAACCCGGCTATTGACGTCGACGTCGTCGTCGTCATTATTATTACTGTCGTCGTCGTCGTCATCGTCGCCATTGGCAGTAGGAGCGATAGGAAGGGGATGTGGTGGCATGACTACTGCTGCCACTGCCACTACCGCCACATCCACCACCACCACCACCACCAACAACAACAACAGAACATGGTTCCCGTGGCGGCGGACGTCGACGACGGATGTGATCCACGCCACGTTCCTGGCTGCCACAGGCGGCGGCGGCGGCGGCCCACTCGCACGCTTCCCGCTCGTGTCCCTGTTGCTGGTGCTGCTCGTATCGTCCGTGATTCCTCCTCTCGCCGGTGAGTTGGTGTATCTGTATTTCCTTTCTTTTTCCTTCCCTTTCTTTCCTTCCTTCCTTCCTTCCTTCCTTCCTTCCTTCCTTTCCTTCATGCCTGCCTGTCTGCATCAAGGGTTAGGTGGGCAGAGAAGAGAAGACGCAGGACCAGGGAGAATGATTCCCCTGTCCACACATTCTGCGAGTAAGACAACAACACTGCAACTATACCCGTGGTGAAAAGGAGTTCAGTACTGTATTCCAGTACTGTATACAGTAGTGCTGCGGAATCGAAAGTGGAAAGATGCAAGTGATGTCCTGTTGCTTGACTGTGCGGCGATGAATCGCTTGAATGCCGTCTTGTGACTGTGACAAGCCGAGTCAAGTGTCGATACGAGACGAGACATGCTTCCCATCCTCGCACCCGTTTTGAAAGCCGGAAGCCAGCCAGCCAGTCAGTCGGTCGATGGACGAATCACCAAATGCTCCGCCTTGTAGCCAGAGCTGGAACTCAATCGTCCCGTGCAGTGCAGTAGAGTACAGTATGAGGAATGCGACTCGACTCGACACTCGCCGAGTTCATCCGTCGTCGTCGTCGTCGTCGTCGTCGTCTCTGCGGCGTTGTGTCAAGAGGGGTTCGGTTGTTCAGTCGTCGATAAGATAAAAGCCGAGAAGCCACTGGAGTGTGTTGTTGCTGCTTTCTTCCTTGTTCGACTAACTGCCTGCTCTACCGCTGTATCATCATAGACTACAGTATTGTACAGTGTGTGTGTGTGTGTACTTGACGGGACCCGACTCTTTCTCCTCCCACGTTTCCCGTGTCTACTTGTTTATTGGACGGGGCGGGACGGTCTATTTTCGACCGAGATCCTCCTCATTTCCATCTGTCTGTCTCTCCGTTTCTCTCTCTTTTTTTTTTCTTCTTTCTTTCTCCTTCTTGACAGCTGTCAGTCCCGCCACCGGAGGTAGGGAAAGAAAGAAAGAAAGACAGACCGAGAGACACACAGACTGACGCGTTCTCCCGCGTCACTCACTCTTGATGCCAGCAACAAAGTATTGTTCTGTACTGTACTGAAGTGTACTGGTGTCCAGTCCGGCAGCAGACGACACGAGTTTCCTTCCGGACTTGTTGGGCTGAGGCGGTGCTTGGGGCTTTAAACACACGGCGATGAGTCGTCCCTCCGTTCCGCGTGAGGAGCAGCAGCAGAGCAGCGCAAGGGAATCTCGTGCATGTGTGTGTATGTATGTGTGTGTGTGTGTGTGTGTGTGTTTGTGTGCGTACGTAGGGGGCGACAATGAGTGTTGGAAGAATACTTGGGTCGGTAGAAAGAAAAAGAAAAAGAGGGAGAGAGAAAGAAAGAAAGAAGCAAGCAAGGAAGCCAAGTCCGGGGGGCTCTGGTTGGCTGCTTTCGAAACGACCGCAAGAGACAGGCGGGGTGGCAGGTGCGAGGAGGGCAATCATCGCGGATGCTTGATACTACTGTACAGTACAGTACAGAATAGGCCTCCGTCCGAGAGACACGCCGAAATGTGCGAGCGACTGACGTTTCATTTCTCGCCGCGACTCTACTGTACAGTACTCTGTCTGGTCTGGCTGCTGATTCTTTTCTTGCCTCTCTTTCTGACCAAACGACCGACCGCGTTTGCACCGATCGATGATCCTGCGACGATCAGAGAGAGAGAGAGAGCCAGCCGTATCGAGTTCTGCCGGTAAAGCTCGCTACTCGTACTCTCCTACGTATGGAGGGGAAGGGAATGTGCCATGTGCTGTACAGTACACAGTACGGTACTGCACATCCCACCCGACTGGACCATGATGTTGATGATCATCATATCACGGTGCTGGGGCCTTTTGAGCTGCACACGGCGGGTCCTTCCAGGTTTCTTGCTAGATTTTCGGTCGGCGAACGAATGGAAAGGCGACGAGTCCGGATCGTCAGAACGGAGCGAGCATTGCACTCACTCACTCACTCACTCACTCACTCACTCACACACACACTCGCTTGTCCGCCCGCTCGCTCCTCTGCCGTCACGCTCTTGCGTTGCGTTCCATTCCATTTCGGTTCCGATTCGTGAGCACGACGGTGGTGGTGGTGATGGTGTGTGCTTACTTGCTTGCTTGCTTGCTGGTTCCTTCACCGCTGCCGCCAACATGATCATCATCATCAACAACAACAACAACAACAACAACAAAAACAACTCCAAGACCTCGACTGCCCGTCGACTCGAGTTTCGATGGATGAAAAAAGGGATGACTGACGGGCTCTTTCTCCGTTGAGATCAGACTATACCGTACAATACCTGTGCAGATTGGGCGACTGTAGGCGGAGCAAGAACGTTACAAGAGGTAGAGATTGTCGGTACACGAGTCTGGAGCGAGCCCTGTACTGTACATTACATGGACTCTTTTTTTTTTTCTTTTCTTCTCGACACATCTACTCCTCTCGAGAATGGAGTAGAGAGAGAGAGAGAGAGAGTGTGTGTGTGTTTGTGTTGGTTGTGTATGTGGACAGAGGGAGGGACGGGACGGGACCACGAGGCGATCCAATTCTTTCATTGCCGGCCGGGCTGTTTTTGTCGGCAATGCGCTTTTTTCGTTCCAATTGTTTCGTTCCGTACCGTCATCTCGGCCGGAACCTACCTGCTCACCGAGACTGAACGCCGTTTCCGGTCGGACGTGTGAAGCGCGACTCGGGGGATGATTGCGTTTCATTGCCGACGACGACGACGACGATGCAATGCATGCGGGCACGTGTATTGTACGGAACAGGGGGCGATTCGTCTCATGCCCCTGTGTACAGTAGTGGCATGAACCTAAAAGGAATGGCGAAGCACTCGAGTTGTCTGTCTGTCTGTCTTGTTCCACTATCGACACCAGTCCAGTCCAGTACATTACTGTACAGTGTACACTGCTTCATGCTCTACTTGACTGGAATCGAATCGAGGGCGGGCCTGTCGGTACACGTGGACATGTACGATAGTAAGACGGGGGAATGTTCGGTGTGTTCGTGCAGTACAGTACAGTACTGTAGTTGAGAGGAGAATGCGAGTCGTGGTGGGAAAGGAGGAAAAGACGAGCGAGCAAGAAATGAATGAATGAATGGACGGACGGACGGACGGAGGGGTTGGGGTGGTGATGAATGATGAAGAAGATGAGATGAAGGTAGAGGAGGCGGAACGAGGGGTGTGGCTCTGACATGAACATGTGACATCAGGCGGCAAAGCCAATGCGAGTGTATACAGTACTGTGCAAGTACTGTAGTACTGTTGCCGCCCGGAAGGAAGGAAGGAAGGAAGAAAGAAAGAAAAGAAATGGAATGGAATAAAATGAAAAAAGAAGGGGAAAAAGGAAAAAAAAGAAAAAGAAAGAAAGAGTGAGTGAGTGAGTGAGTGGCGAGATATTGTCGGGAAGGAAGCTATACTGTATATAGGCAAGCCAGCCGCGTATACTGTACACAGAGAGGTCGTCGTTGGCGAGGCGTGAGAATGGCGACATTTCTGCATAATTTCCCCGATTTTCCCACGCGCGCCGAACCTCGACGTTTTCCGCAAGAGGAGAGAGAAGAGATGGAAATGAGCGAGCCGATTTCTTCACCCTTGCGCGGAAGAAGAAGAAGAAGAAGAAGCAGAAGCAGCAGCAGGAGGAAGAGGAGGAGGAGGAGGAGGGGAGGGGAGGGGAGGGGAGGGGAGGGAAGGGAAGGGAAGGGGAAGTGGCTTTTGTCCGCGCCGACGATGGGAGAATACAAGCAGCAGTACTCGACTCTACGTACGGTCCATGCAGTCAGTACTCACGACTCGTACTCGCGCCCCTTTTCTTCCGTGACCGCGACGGCAATACACAAATAAATAAATAAATAAATATATATACGTATATATATTGTATATATATATATATACAGCCCCCGCCGATCGCTTTTCCTCATCATCGACTCTTTATCGCCGACCGAACATTCCTTCTCTCTTTCTATTCTTTATCCATCCATCCATCCATCCATCCATCCATCCATCCATTCCTTCATTCATTCATTCAGTCAGTCAGTCAGTCAGTCGTGGTATATTCATTGAATCGGCTCACCGAGACTCTAGCGCTCACTACTTTTTCACACGCATACGCTTACAGTACTGTACAGAGTACGGTACATTACATCTGCTCGTTGTACTGGACGTGTTTTGTGGGTGTGTCTTTGTTGTTAGTCTTACAACTCGAGCTCGTGCTCGAGATACAGCTCTTCTTGTGCCGCCGCTCTTTTCTGACTGCAACCCTTCCTTTGCTTGTTTTTTTGTGATGAATATTTGTGGTGTGAAGCAGATGTCCATCCATCCATCCATTTACTCGTGGAACACATGAAAAAAGCCTGCATCGATCGTCGTCGTCGTCTCTCTCTCTCTCTCAGTCGTCGACGCATATACACAGTACAGGATGGCCCACCCGACGCGTTCCGTTCCGTTCCGTTCCGTAACTGTATAATTGATCCAGATTCCTTGCCCGGTCAATGACTGATGGACGCAATGACGAGCCGCCAGCCAAAGGGACGAACCACCAGAACACGTTGCTTAAGTCTAGTACAGTACTGTCTTGTCTTGTCTTGTCTTGTGCGATCGGTGCCCTTCAGTCCTCCTCGTCCACTGCGTCTCTGGCTTCTCCGTCCGCATTCCCTTCCATCCCTGTCTCCCTTTTTTTTTTTTTTTTTTTTTTTTTATTTTTTTTTCTTTTTTTTTGTTTTTTTT